GTATTCTATAAATATCAATTAGGACAGATCGATGAATCATGCTTTTCAGATCAACTCTATCCTTACCAATTTTCTGCCTTCTTGCTCTATCAACTGCTGAAGGAAGCTGTTGATCCAACTAAGCAGTGGATTTGTCAATTTCTCCTTGCAGTTCAATTGGTTTTTGCCTTGTATATTTTGATGTTCTCTTGTTAGGTATATACACATTAAGAATTGTTATTCCCTTTTAAATAACTGACTCTTTTATCATTATGTATTGCCCCTTTTTTCTCCCTGATGGTTACATCTGTATTCTTATGAGTTTCTTGTCAACAACATATAATTGGGTCTTATTTTTTAGTTTTCATTTGTTTTATTTTTTATTCACAGTGACAATCTCTGTCTTTTAATTGATGTATTTAGACTATGTACATTTGAAGGGACTGTTGATATAGTTGGATTACTATCTACTATATTTGTAACTGTGTTCTGTTTGTTGCATAATTTTTTGTTTCTTTCTTTTCCTCTCTGCCCCACCCCCTTTTTTAGGCTCTCTGGCTTTAAGTGAGAATTTTATGATTCCATTTTCTCTCCTCTCTTAGTATATGTATTTTTTAAGAGAGAGAGAGAGAGAGAGAGCACAGGCATGCATGCACACAAGTGGAGCTGGGGAGAGGGGTAGAGGGAGAGGGAAAGAAAGAATCTTTTATTTATTTTATTTATTTTTGGAAAGAAAGAATCTTAAGCAGGCTCCATGCCAGCACAGAGCCCAGCACAGGGATCAATCTCATGGCTGAGATCATGACCTGGGCCAAAGTCGAGAGTTGGACACTTAACTGACTGAGCCTCCCAGGTATTCTAACTACCTATTTTTAAAAAAGTGTTTCAGTGGTTGCCCTAGAGTTTGCAATATACATTTACAGCTAATCAAAGTCCATTCTCAAATTATACTATTCTGTTTCACTGGTAGTGCAAGTATCTTATAACACAGAAATCCCAATTCCTCCCTCATGTTTCTTCTAACACTGTTGTCATTCATGTCATTTACCCATATACTACAATCAACCAGTACAGTAAAGCCTTGAACAACATTGATTTGAACTGCATGGGTCCGCTTATATGTGGATTTTTTAACAGTACTGTATCATAAATGTATTTTGTCCTCCTTATAATTTTCTTAATAACATTATTCTTTCTTCAGTTTACTTTGTTGTAAGGATACAGTATATAACATATAACATATCAAATATGTGTCAACTGACTCTTCTTCTGGTCAACAGGAGGCTATTTAGTAGTTAAGTTCTTGGGAAGTCAGACGTTATATGCAGATTTTCAACTACATGGGGGTTCAGCATCCTGAACCCTTCTGTTGTTCAAGGGTCAATTGTACGTTGTTACAATTACTACTTTGAACAAATAGTTATCTATTTGGTCAATTAAGAATAAAAAGTATCTTATTTTATCTCCATTTATTCCTTTTCTGACACTCTATTTCTTTATGTAGACTTGAGTTTCTGACCTATATAATTTTCTGTCTTTCTGAAGAACTTCTTTTAACATTTCTTGCAGTCAAGTCTACTATTAATGAATTACCCCATTTTTTTTTTTTTTGTTTATCCGAGAGAGAAATTATTTCACTTCTACTTTTGAAAGATAATTTCTCTGGGTACAGAAATATAGGTTGGTGGGTTTGGAAAAGGATTCTTTTATTAGTCAACTGCTTTTACAATGTATGGCTAAATTTGTGAAACTGTTTTATATACATCAATTTCTCTTGAATGCATTCAGAGTCAACTAATGGTACTGAACATTCATTATATATCAGTCACCAGGCTAGAAGTTCTCACAGGAAAATGTTTCTGAATCACAATAACTTTGGAGACAGGTTCCTTTCTTCAGTAGTTCCATTTTGCAGATTAGGAAACTATGGTTCAGAGATATTTAAGGAACTCATCCTTGATATGAAAAAAAAACCCAAAAAACCTAGTGAGGTTGTATTCTAGTCTCTACTCCGCAAATAATTAGTTATACAAACTTGACCAGGTTATTTAATCTCTCTGAACTATAATTCACAAAAGGAATAAAAAATAATTATCTCCCAGGGTAACTTAATGTATAAAAAGCTCACTATCACAACTATAACAGTAACAGTAATTTGTATATAAATTTTTATATTTAGTAATTTATATATAATAGTAATTATAATTAACATGTTATAAATATTAATATATTACTAATATACTGATGGAGATTACAAAGTTATATAATAGAAATAAATCCTTGTATATAGCCCCTTGTAAAAAAGAGCCAGGAACTCATGAATCTTGTAACTATGTTCAAAGCTCTCTGTAGCTCTGCTAGGTGTCACATAATCTTAGGTGCCAAGAGAAACAATTTAAAAGTTAGGTTCTCCCTGGATGATAAGGCTGTTCAGGTCAGCATTTGTGGAAACATGAGCATATCAAATTCCATCCCAAAGTTGAGAAGTATGTCAGGCAAAGGGTTTTTTTTTGATACGGTTCACGCAGGGTATGGTAAGAATGCTGGAAACTGGTGCTAGAATCAGCTACTGTTGCTCTGGAAATCATTTCCAGATTCAGGGCTTGCAGGTACCACCCAAGAGTTCTTGAAATGGCTGTGTTCTGATGCCTGGATCTGGCATTGAACCCTTAAGAATTGCAAAGTATGGGGCAAGTCTGAGGCAGTAATATGGGAAAGATCAGCCTCATATGCTGGTTCTCACTTTGAGCCAAATATTACCAACAGAGACATGCCGGGGAAAGGGACTGCTCCATTCATTCCTTTGGGACATGCAATAATAGATATAGATGGACTGATGGGCAAAGAAGTACAAAATATTCCAGAAGCCAAGCATGTCTATGAGATAATCTAGGAGAGTCCCAAAGGGCCACCATGAGACCCAAATAGTCCTTGACCACTGTTGGGTATCTTTATCTAGGATCCTGGCTTCGCTAAAAATGCCAGGCAGGATCACTCTACGAGAGGCTTCTATCACAGGCATCTGGTCACCTGCAAGGGGTTCGCAGAGCCCCTCTGGGTAACCATAAAATAGAGGAGCTGTGTGATAGAAGAACACAGAAATAGCAACCTTGGAGAGCAGAAGTTGGGGGATTAAGGGAGTCCAGTTGTTGGTGAGGGATGGGGTGCAAGCAAAAGTAACAAGCCCAGAAAGTTATTTCAGGCAGCACAACTTGTGGCGGTGAGCGACAGGAAACAATTTGGGAAGACCATTCCAGCTACCCAACACTTGTTAAGCTCAGGGATGTCTACCGGGTGCCAGTGTAGCCTGAGTTATCAAGGGTTCGAACCTCCAAGGGCAACAAGTTCTTCAAGTGGCCTCTGATTCACGGGCTGATCTGTCTGTGGCTAGGTAGAATCAGTGTGTGAGCCCGACATTGACTGGTGTTGTGAAATACATCTTCAGAGAATTGACAGAAGGGCAATTTCTCCAAATATAAGACAGGGACAAATTCTTCTTGGCATAAGCTACCTCGAAAATCATCAAATAAAAATGGTGGAGGAGTAGTGGGACATAGTGCAGGCCAGCTGGCTCACGAGGCATTTTCTTTCAGGAGGCTTTCTATATAAAATTTACACCAGAGTTGTTATGGAAACTGAGCATATTTTGGAATATCTAATCCAGAGATCATTATCAGTTATAAAGGAATAATGGAACAGGGCTATGAATCGTTTCCTTAAGAATCCAGTTTTCTTCTTACTTAAGGACTAGAGAAATTCTGAATATTAGGTTATTTCCATTTTGCAGATGAGAAAACCATCGTTGTTTTATTTAAGAAGCTTTTCTTTGATATGAGTGAATAACTTATGAAGTTTTATTCCAGTCTTTTTCTTTTAAAAACGATTTGTTCAAGTACTATATAGAGGATGTTTATTTTAATTGACAAGACAGTGGTACATAGAAGAAAATTAGTGTGTTTGCTTAAACAACAAAAAGACAAGATTTCCCTTTCTAAATAAAATGTGTAACTTGTCTAAACTTAAGCATTCTACAGAATTCAAAAGAATCCCTTTAGACCCTGTGCTACACAGGGAATAATTTCTATAATGGATAAAAATAAAATACAATAAAATACCGGTCTAAGCCAGTACTTCATATGTCACAGCCAAGTCTTCTTATATAATGACCAGTCTAAGACCCAGAACCAGGTGGAGTGTTAAATGAGGACCTTCTTTCTTTGCAACATACTCAAGTCTAAATGATTGGTTCTCAAATGTGGTCTCTGGCCAAGAGCATCAGCACCACCTGGGAACTTGTCAGACATGCAAATTCTTGGGCTCCTATTGAATCAGAGACTTTGGGGGTGAGACCTGGGAATCTGATTGACAGTCTGATTCACCTCTCCAGGTGATTCTGATGCACCTTAAGATTTGAGAACCACTGCTGGAAACATTACAATGGCAAGATCTCAGGCTATGATCCTGAGGCCCCAAGATGGTAAGGTTCTCATGGACACGCTCAAGTGGGATTGGTCCTTGCCAAGGGGATCATGCTTTGTGTTGCTGAGGTCAGTATAACATTTGCATTAACCCATTTCCATGGATATGCCAACTATTGATGCCAGTTGAGTTTATTGCTAATTAAACAAAGTTAGCCTCAATCTTTTGTTGCTGCAGTTCCTAATCTGCCTTTTCCTAGGCCACACGCAGAAGGTGATCATGCTAAAGGAAAACTAATTCACTTTAACCAAATTTTCTTAGTCTTGTCACTAGTGACAGGAGGAGCTGTCCTCTGCAAGTTTAGTGGCATCTGTGGCCTCTACCCACCAGATGCCAGAAGCATCTCCCATCTGCCTCTCCCCTCCCACTAAGGTGTGACAACTGAAAATGTTTCCAGATGTTGCCATGTAACTCCTGGGGGCAAGACTGCACCCTGTTGAGGGCCACTGACTTAAACCAAAGGGTTTCCTTCAAAGCAGTGAGAAAGGAAGGATGCAGCAGGAAGAGGAGCAGGCTTCCAGAGGCCCCTGGGGGCAACTCACGTTGTAGGACCGGCCATGCCTTTGTCTCCACTGTACCAGCACTATCTGGGCGATGACCAGGGTGCAGAGGAAGATCAAGATCATCTCCACGTGCATGGACTCATGGCCCCGGTGCGTCTTGTGTATCCTCTCCTGCTGCAGGCTGGAACCAGCAAATGACGTCATCTGAAAAAGCCTTCAACCCTTGCACTGCACATTTAGGGGAACAAAATGTCTGGGCTTGTGGAAAGCAACTGGAGATTTCAAATGTAGGGGCTTTTAAGTTTGAGTACAGTTTTCCTAAGGTTTTCTTGGTTTTGCCTTTTCTCTCAGGCTTGAGGAGGGGGCAGCAGAGAGGAGGAGCCCGAGTTCATTAGGGAAACCAATTCCTCTCACCCCTTAGCTAGCCTGTGTGGTTTGGGCTTCAGCCTTGTCCTTTCAAGGGAAATGATGGGGCCAAGAAAGTCACTGATGGGCTCTGGAAAGACCTGGGTGCCAGTCCCCAGTCCGGCAGGTCATCGTCATACAGACTCGCAGAAGTCACTCATCCCTTCTGCACCGCGGTATCCTCCTTTGCAAACTTAAAATCGTCATCCCTCTGTACCTCACAGGATTGTTCTAAAACTCTAAAGCCCATGTTATTTGTTCTTAAATGAGGAATAATAATGATTATCAGGTTAAATCATATAAAATTGCCATTTTTGAAATTCAAAACAGTAAAATAGTGGTAATTCCAAGTAACTTTAAATATTCTTAAGTAAAAGGATATACTGCACATGGTAACGATGAAGAGAAACTTATCCAAAGGACTCCAGAAAACTCCTCAGTGAGCTGTATACATTTTTTTTTCATTATAAGGGGAAAGAAGAAGCCCATGTATTATCTTAAGCAGGTACAAACATTCAGTTGATGGCTGAATGTCTCAGTTTTTAGATGAACTCTTGGCTTTGCATAAAGGTAGAGAAAACATGATTATAATACGTCATCTGGTTTAACTTCCCATTGCCCAAGTAGCTTCAGAGGAAACCTAGAGCAGTGGTTCTTGTTGTTGGCTGTAAACTGAAAATCACTGGGGAGCTTTTAAAAGTCCCAAGGTCCGAGCCGTGACCAGATCAATTAAATAACCTTTTCTGTGCCTTACATGGGCTGAACCGTGCCCACCCCCATTCATATGCTCAAGTCCTACCCCCCAGTTCCTCAGAAGGTGACTGTATTTGGAAATAGGAACTTTAAGGAATTAGCTAAGGTTCAGTGCTGTCCGTGAATGGGCCCCAATCCAATCTGACTGGTGTCCATCTAAGAAGATTTTTATATATAAACTCACATGGAGGGAAGAGTGTAAGGCAGCTGCAAGCCAAGAAGGGTTGGGAGAAACCAGACCTGCCGATACCTTAACCTTTGACTTCTTGCCTCCAGAACTATGAGAAATGAAATTTTTGTCATTTAAGCCACCAGGGCTGTGGTACTTGTTATGGCAGTTTAACTTCCACATGCAATTTTCAGGTGCAGCCAAGATTGAGAACCACTGGGTTAGAGGAAGAGAGAGCAGTCCAGGGTCAGGATTAGGGAAAATGGGAAAATTATGAATGCTGCCAATCAAGTACTTTATAAATAGTGGTTAGCATTATCTTTCGCTCTGGATGGGGCACCATCAGTCACGAAATCTCTTGAAGTTTCACTTATGACTGGATATAGTGTGCATTTGCTGTACTGATCAGAAAACACTGCAGGATACTATTCTGTGCTGTGAGACTGTGACCTTTTAAAGGCACTCACTGGGTATGTGGGCTGGGTTCTCCCCCTCTACTAGTAATTTCCACCACTATGAGGAGTGAAGTACCAAGTGCTTCTGAAAAGGGCACTGAGGGTGCCCCCTGCTGGACAACGTGCAGCAATGAGCCTGCAGAGCCTAGTAAATACTGCCTGAGTTCTCCTTTGAGATGGAATCTTAGAACCTGGATGCTGGGAGGCACATTAGATGTACCCACACCCCTACCTTTATCAAATGAAGAAGCTAAAGTCCCTATCAGGTAAGCAACCTTAATAAAATTACATTGTTAATAGTCTCTGTGCTGGAAGCTGAGCTTAAGAGATAAGAATGATTTTCAGAAACTCATTAAAAAATACACTCGTTCCTTTGAAGAAATGGGAAGTGAAGAAAAATTAAAGGGTACAAGCACTTACAGTTTTTACAGCCCCCAACCCAAAGTAACTATTTAATATTCTACTTAGTGAACAGACTTTCAACTTTGGGCAGGGAGACAGAAAAGTGACTTTATAATCGTTCTAAAATAGGGCTTGCATAGACATAAACTATGCTTTATGACATGCATCGACTTTGTGTATATATAATGAAAACCTATCTCAAATGGTTAACCTGTGTAGAATTACTTTGGAAAGTATAAAGTAGTGTGCAAATATAATAAGTATTTCCTATTTTGATTAGGAATACACTTATCATTGATTACCATAATGCAAAAAAGGAAGAACTTTTCATTTTTATTTTATTTCTTTTGGTGCCCACAGGGCCCTAATGGCCCTATAGTAAGTACTAGAACACAGGTGAAACAGCATATATAGAAAACCAGATGTCTCTTATGCCTAAAATAAATACTAACTTGACATTGCCCTATTTTGAAGGACATACAAATCCAGTTTTGGGGGACTGTGTGGGGCACACTGTAGGAAACAGATGAAATCCAAGTGGTTCAAGTTCATCCTATCAGTGCACATGCATGCTGTGCTAACCCACCTTCTGTAGCCTGAGACATTTACAAATAAATCATAGCTTCATTTAATTTCTCCAACTGTTAAGGTTAAGATGGAATTTTTAGATAACAGCTATAAAAAAAAAAGACTCATAACTTACTTCCACTCATCATCTGCAGAAAGCTTTGTGTGAGAGATCTGAAAAAAAAAAAAAAAAAAAAAGAGCCCTTTTCAGAATTTTTTTTTTCCAGCTTGTAATGTACAGAGGGAAAAAATGAATACAATGATAATGATGAGGATGAGGATGATGATGATATTTTCAGAGACATCTCTTTTCTAGTACTAGTTCCCTTATTTTACAATATTTTTCTCTAGGGTGAAGTCTACTTTTGACATTTTTTTCTGGTATGTTACTATGCAAGCCCATTCAATATCTTACAAGAATTTATTTTGGAAAATAAAGTGACACTAAAATTCATCTGGAAAAATAAGCATATAAGGATAGCCAGGAAAACTCAGAAGAGTAAATACCAGAGAAGTGGCCTACCAGACACTGAAATACATAATAAAGCCACAGAAATTAACTTCCTATTACTGGTCCAGGACTAGGAAGATAGATGAGTGGACAGAACACAGACAGCATCCAGGAACAGACCCAAGTACATATGATAAACGAATCACTTCAAATCAGTGAGGAACAAAAATGGATTGTTCAACGAATATTGCTGAGACAAGTGGTTTTGGAAAAAAATATAGAGCTGTATCCAAACCCCATCTCAAAATAAAGTCCATGTGGATCAAATATTTAATTGTAAAAAAGAAAGTCTTGGGGCACCTGGTGGCTCAGTTGGTTAAGCGTCTCTTTTCAGCTCAGGTCAAGATCCCAGGGTCTTGGGATCAAGCCCATATCAGGCTCCCTGATCAGTGGGAAGTCTATTTCTCTCTCTGCTCCTCCCCCGCTCATTACTCTCTCTCTCTCAAACTCTCAAATAAATAAATCTTAAATAAATAAATCTCTCAAATAAATAAATCTCTCAAATCTCTCAAATAAATCTTTCAAATAAATAAATCTCTCAAATAAATAAATATTTTAAAAAAAGAAAGTCTTAAAAGCACTAGAAGAAAATATGGTAAATGTTTTAATAATCATGTAGTAGACAAAGTGTTTCCAAGTATGAGGTAGTTGCCAGAAATTATAAAGTTAAAAAAAGCAACAGATTTTTTTTTTCTAGGCAGAATGAAAGTTGGAGCTTTATTTTGAGGATGACGGTGGTTAGCCAGGAGGAGCTCAGGGTCAGAGCCTTGCCTAAAGGGATGGTGGAAAACTTGTGGGACTTTGGGGAATTTGGTTGGACCAGAGACCAGGTTGGGGTCACAAAGATAGCCTCAGGGGCTCCATTGAGAGGGCTAGTTAAATCTATAGACCTCAGGGTCCCCAGCACCACCTTCTCTTAGGGAGTGAGGTGGCTGCCTGGGCTAAGGGACAGGAAGGCAGAGATAGTAGGGAAAAGGGTACAACCCTTCACCCCATAACCAGTGTGGCAGGGAGGGGATGGGGCACAATCACTTTATTACTGTGGTAGGTGAGATAAACGGGGTGGGATGTGAGGTGGTCCCTGCATTCTCCTGCTTCTGAATTTACCTCACCCCCCGGAAGGGCTGAGGGTGAGAGGGAGCATCCGTGGCGTTGGGAAAGATAAGGTCCTATGAGCACTGGAATCTTCTGGGAGCTTGAAAACCCCAATGCCCTGATGTTGAGCGCCCCCTCCCCCACTGGGAGGGTCCACCACCAGTTCCTGAGAACAGTTGAAGGCTGTTGCCTCTGGATAGTGGGAAATCAGGAATGGGAAAAGGTAGAGTGGTGACAGGGGTTCCATTGTTTTTTTGTCTAAGTCTTGTAGAATTATTTGACTGCTTAAAATGTGGATGTACATAATTTTAATACAAATTAACATTAAAAAGAAAAAAAAAGTAAGATGATAAGGGGAAAAATGTCTAGCAGCTAGTGCCGATGAGGGAAAATGGCTTCCTCCTGTCCTTCAGATGCATTGTATACATTAAGACAGTTTCTCTGAACAGATTAGGTTAGGTATGTCAAAATTTTAAGTGTTCGCCTATCCTCTGTAGAATAGTCTAGGAATATTCTCTCACAAAATGAGGTGAAAAATGCACAGGGAAAGATGACACAGGTGTTTGCATAGTTTTATTTATAATATTGAGAAATTGGCAACAATCTATGTGTCAACCCATGCGGGATTGGTTAATGAGTTCTGATATAATAAAGGAAATCTATTGGGTCTTTAAAATGATTGTTCAGATCTATATTTCTTGACATAGAGGTATCTCCATGACATATTGTTAAGAGAAAAAGCATGCTTTAGAAACAGTTGTATATACTGTAAACCTATTAATGTAAATACAGAGTTGCACTGAATCAACAAACATCCAAAAGAAAGAGGTATCCAGAATGGTCACCAAAGTGCTAATAGGAATGATCTATGAGTGCTGATGTCTGCTGGAATACTTACTCCTTTTTTATACTTACTTTTTTATAATCTGCATGAACATATGTCACTTAAATGAAGCAGTCATTTTGAATCTGCTTCTCCTTTCTCCTTCTTGTCTGTCATTGCCAAATCCTTTTTTCCCTGCTAGCACATTCTTATTTACCTCTCCTCCCCTTTTTGTTCACTTCTGAGCTTCAGATTCTTCTACCCAAGTGCCTTCTACAGATTTCCACTTGGATGTCCCTCAGACACACAAACTCAACCTGACCCAGACTGAACATATTTGTTTCCCCCCAACCTACTTCCATTTCAGTTCCCCTTCTCACTCAGCAACTCCATATCCCATCTATCCGATCACTCAAAACAGAGATATGGGGCACCACTCTTGATCCTAACCCTCCACCACCAACCCAGTACCCTCCTGCTGACCTTACAAAAATACCTGGCAACCCACTTCTTTCCACCTCAGTGGCCTCTGTGCCAACAATTTTCTTCATTCATACAACCACTATCTATTTACTACCTCCTGGGTGCCACACACTGGGATAGGACCTGGCATATGATAAAGGTGAGTAAGACAGAAAAGGTTCCTGTTCTCATTAATTAAGCCTTGTGTTCTAGAGAAAGTATGGACAATAAGCAAGCAAGGAAAACAATGACCTAATGCGGTAGAGTCTATGAAGAAACAAAATGTAGTGTGTGGTAAAGAGCCAGAACAGGAAGGGGCTCTTACTCTTTAGACTGCTTGGCAAGGGAAGGCCTCCAGCCTGGTGTGCAGTGTTCCCTCCCCACCCCGGAGGTGCTTATGCCTTCACTCCTTTTCTCCCTTCAAACCCTGAGGATGATCCAATGACAAGCAGACTGGTCCTATCTGATCCCCTGCTCGAAACCCAAGTGGCTGCCCTTGTCACTAACAGGACTCCTGCGGTCCTTGTCAGCTTCATTTCTCTCCACAGCCCCTGAACAGCCTCTGGTCTAGTTAAGCAGAACCTTCCTTCCCCTGAATGCTCTTCCTTGTCCCCCAGACATGCTTTGGGGATGCCCTAGATTCCACTTCCTCCAGGAAGCCTTTGGGGTTAGGCACCTCTGGTAGATCTACTGTCCACTGAACACTGTCACCACAATGCGTGGTCACTGGTGATTTATTACTTGTATTACCCCACCCTGAATACCCCCATCTGACACAGCGCACACTCAATCAATATACAGTTGACCTTTGAACAATGTGGAGGCTAGGGGCACCAGTCCCCCATATAGTAAAAAATGTGGATATAACTTTTGATTCCCTAAAGCTTATCTACTAATAGCCTGTTGTGGACTAGAAGAAGCCTTCCCAATAACATAAGAAGCTGATCAACACATACTGTGTACGTGATGTGTATTATTACTGTATTCTTATAATAAAGTCAGCTAGAGACAAGAAAATGTTACTAAGAAAATCATAAGGCAAATGCATTTACAGTACCACACTGCCAATAATCCGTGTACCCGTGGACCTGTTGTTCAAGGGACAACTGTATCTGAAAACTGCCTCCCTCCCAGCGCCAGCCCTCCTCATTTCTCACCTCAGCTGCTGCCTCCAAATGGGTCTCCCCACTTTCAACTCTTCCCTCACAAAAACCCATCTGTTAGAAAAATCTTGCTAAAATGCTTGGCAAAACTGGAAGAGTGAACTCAAACTACTGGTGTCCCTGATACACAAGTGAGGGAGGTACGGGTGTGTCAGACTTGGAGGGCCGTGTTTAGTGATACAGAATCCATGTCACTGGGCAAGCGCAAAGCTTCCATGAATGGAGGGGGAGGAAGGGGTTTATGTCAGGCCTACTCTAAGGCAGAGAAGATGGTGGGGTAGAGGTGGGTCCTCTGGGGGAAACAGAGGTTGCAAAGGAGGCCTCAGACAAGAGGAAACTGATGAATCCACTCTGCCTGCTTTCTTGCACCCCAACTTCGAGGAGTCTCAGGAGCAGACATGGTGTAGCTGGCTTGCTCTTGTGACCCCACAGAAGGTCTAGCTGGGGAGGAGGAGGGTTTTACTTGTCACAAAGGGGTAACACAGGGAGCTGGGCAGACTAGAGTCCAGATCATGAGGTTTTATGTTCATTACTCACTCACATATTTGTCCAATAAACATCTCCTGAGGCTCTGCCTTTTGCCAGGCTCTGTGCTGGGTTCTGGAAATACAGTAGCCAGCAAAGCAGATCAAGTGCTTGCTCTGCTGGAGTCCAAAGGGATGGAGGTTCTCAGAAAAACAAGTACACAAAAAAATATGCTTCAGGGGGTGATAAGGATGTTGAATGAACATTAAACAGGGTAACGTTTCGAGTCAGGGTGCTGTCATACATAGGGTGCTCCGTAAATTCTTATGGGGTTGGGGTGCTCAGTAACCATATCTATTTCTCCTTTATTATCCGCAGCTTTTACAAAGTCTGTTTTAAACTAGCACTTCTCAAACTTTGATGTGCAGTCAGCCAGGGGTTCAGTTAACACGCAGATTTTAAGCCAGCAGTTTTGGGGTGGGGGACTGAGACTCCATTTCTAATTGGCTCCCAGGTGACACCTTGGCTCTTGGTCCCTGGACCACAAGGCTCTGCCATGAGGGATTAAGGGAAAAGCTGTGAGTTCCCCCTAGGGAAGAATTAACAGGGGACCATGCCTCCTGAGGGCACCAGGCAAGGCAGCTATGGCAGCCTTAAGGGGACAGCAAGTATCAGCTGCAGAACTGACTCTGCCAGTCTTCTGTCCTTCCCAGCTTGCAGACTTCTTCATCCATAACCTGCTGTGAATGATGTGATCTGGTTCACAGGAGACTGAAACCAGCAAGTCAGCCAGGGAGTTCCCTTACAGCTTCCCTATTTTAGAGAATAGATCCCCAATGCATAGTGTGTTACAAGATTTGTCATAACCCAGCTCTCTCTGCCTACAAGGATTCATGAACCCTGGAGTTCTGCCAGGATCATAGAGAATATTTACTCCTACCCCTACCTTTCTCCATGCTCACCTCCCAGCCCCCACCAATTTTTTTCACCTCCAAGTAATTTCATATTCCTGTTTCCTCCAAGGAGAATTCTCATTTCCCCTCATGGCCACATGGAATCTCATCCATTCTCCAAGGCCCTGCTCCCAAAAGCCATGCCTTCCGAGTGATTATGATGAATGCTGAAGTTTGAGAAGCTCTGAGAACCATAAAGTCAAGCCTAATGTACACCCAGCACCCTTCAGCTGTCGTCTTCCAATGCCCACGGCCTTCTCCTGGGCCCTGGGGCTTCTGTCAGGGAGAGGGTGGAGAGAGGGGCAGCCAGTATGGAGGACAGGGAACGGATAGGGATGAGTCCAACAAGGGTCCTTCTGGAGGAGACAAGTGGCGGCGGGGGGACGAAGTTGAAGAAGGGGGGGTTAAGGAGAAGAAAGGAGATTAGAGGGAGAGGGAAAGAGGGAAATGGAGAGGGGTTCGACTCCCATGGGGTGGGGTAGGGTGAGACGAAGCAATGAGCACCTTCCAGAAAGGTCATCCGCCCCTCCATCCCGCGCCGGGGCGAAGGACTCGGAGACCTGTCCGCGCGGCCACCCAATCCCCACGTGATCCTCGGTACTCTAGCCCCGTGTCCCCAGACTGCGCCCCGCGCCCCATACCTGCTCGTGCTGCGGAGGCGCCTCCAGCACCGGCGCCGCCTTGCGCACCGCGGCCCCCGCTGCCATACCTCCGCCGCGGCGCCAGCTCCGGGCCGCGCAGTCCCTTGCTACGCGCGGGCCGGGAAGGGTCTCCTGGAGTCCACTGGGGGCGCTCTGCCCCGCGAGCGCGGGGGGCGAGCTGTGTGCGCGGCGGCCCCGCCCCGGGCCCTGCGGCAGCGTGCGCAGACAGCCTCCGGGAGCGCCGCCCCTCCGGCCGGTGCCCGCGCCCCCGCCGCCCGCAAAGGCGCGGGCTCGGGATCCTCCTTCCTGTTACTGCCCGAGAGATCCTTCAGGGATCTTTCCCTCTGCGGTCCGGCAGTCGTCGGCCACCGTGGCTCTTGTCGCGTGCGGCGCCTGGCTCCTGCCGGCGGTTTTGTCACCAGGTGGCAGGGTTGGACACCCAGCTCAGAAGTAAGGTGGGAAGAGATGTGGGGAGGACCGAGAGTGGGAAGTGGAGAGGTGAGAGAGGGAACGAAGGGACGTTTTCTCCCGGCTCTTTCCTTAGAAGCCTTTATCTCAAGACGGGAGTTCAGGTGACTCTCCAAAACCTGGGAGGCTGAACTTCTGTTGCATCTCCGGTTACCGCGTTTCTGTTCCTGGGCCCATCGGCCCTTCTTCCCTGTTAGCTGCAGTTTTAATAATCTGGAGAGGTCCCTGTTGAAGCCACACTTGCCTCCTCCAAAGATGACAAAGGAGAGAAACTCAACTGTGGGGAGAGAAGGCAGACACTCTGGGCCTTTGTGCTGCTTGGCTCCTGTAGAGGAGCTGTAGACCCAATATGGATTTATGGCTGGGAACAAGCTGGAACATTGGTGGAAGCCTTTAGGAACGCATTGGTAGAGCAAGAGACAAAAAGGGAATATGTAAGTAGATAGACTGACTTACAAAATATGGCTGGCTCCTTTCCAGTTTGTGGTGGCTCACAGTTTCCAAGAGCTACAAGGAGCTACCAGTGGAGGCTTACCAACAGATGGATACATCTCTGCCCTTGTAGAACTTCTGGTCTAGCATGGCGTGGAGACAAACATCCAGGACGATTACCTGGTAAGTTAGTAAGTGGTAAGTGCTTCCTCCTCCAAGTGCTTGACCTGTGTCAACTCATTCAGTTGTCACAACAAGGCCACCAGGTAGGTGGTGTTATCTCCATTTTACAGGAGAACATTGAATCACAGAGAGGTGCAGAAATCTGCCCAAGTTTCAAAGCTAGTAGGTGGTGCAGTGGGAATTTGCTTTTTGGCTTCAAGGGTGGGCAAGAGGGCTCAACTATGGCTCAAGCCAGAAAGCTGTTGCTATAGTTCAGTTAAAGACAGCATGGTGTATGTGAGTAAGTATATGAAGGGATGGGGTGGAGTGGAGATGGAGAGATGTTGATAGAGTCAAGAGATCTAGGTGATAAAATCTGTAAGACTTACTGATGGCTTCTAGGCTTGTGGCTCCAGCAGCCTGGAATTTGGGCAGGGGTGCTGAGAGCAGGAATATTGAAAGAGCATCATATTTCTGGGAACAAAGATAAGGAATTCATTTGGACATTTTGCCTCCCTTCCCAGCTCTTGGCCTGTTTTCCTGTGGCAAAGACCTTTTTTTTTTTCTCCCCAGTCCCTGATGTCCTCAAATTCATCTGGGTTCATCTAAATCAGCTCCCTCCGTACCCCCTCTCCGCTGGTTGGTTGGAAATAGAATTTCCCTATCCTATAAAATTCTGGCTCATTATCATTATATAAGTTCTGACTCCGGGGTATGAGATTCTCTTCCCTGGTTGACTGACACCAGAAACATCTACAGGTTTCACTGGAGACACATGTGAGCCCACAGGGAGTCATCTTCCTTCTGATTTCAGCTCAACAGTCATCAGGTAATAAAACTCAAAAAGTCCATTTCTTCCCCACTGGTAGTGATGGACTTGCTCTGGTCTACTGTATCATATCTGGTTCTCTTTCATGACTCATTTCCAGATATGGAACTAATACCTTGTTTCCCAGAAGGGTAACCGCCGCTTTCTGGAGGGGTTCAGCCAACCAGAGTTAATTTCTTCGCAAATTTGTTTCCCAAATCAAATGCTTGGCAACTGACAGTCATAAATCCTGGAATAGATCAACAGCCTTCCTCTCACTTAGCACTAATATCTTCAGCATATTAGCCATAGCTCATGCATCCCCCTGTTCTGTCTTGATGTAGAGCCCTGAGATGATTGTAGTGATGTAATGAAAGAAATGAGCTAATGCCATAAAGGTGTTTGAAAAACAAGGTGGATTCAAGAATAGCTAGAAAACTAAGTATGCTATTTGGTGCAGGAATAGTGAGATAGAACCATGGAGCAGACCAGAAAGCCCTCCAAATAAACACATGGATCTATGGGAAACTAGTTTTAGGGCAGGAGTGCTAAATCAGCAGGGATACATAGACTATTTAGCAATTAGCTTGCCATGCCAAGACAAAACAGGTAGTTTAACAAGCAAAACTTGTAGAAGACAATTTAAAAGAATAGCTTTATTATCTCAAGATAGTGAAGAATATATTAAAACTCAAAAAGAACAAATCATAATGGAAAAGATTAGTAAAACTGTCTATGTTAAGATATTAAACTTCTATACAATAAAGAGTTGACATTAAAAAGATGCAAACCAGGATGCCTGGGTGGCTCAGTTGGTTAAACCCTTGCCTTTGGCTCAGGTCATGATCCCAGGGTCCTGGGATCAAGCCCCACATCAGGGTCCTTGCTCAGTGGGGAGCCTGCTTCTCCCTTTGCCTGCTGCTCCCCCTGCTTATGCTCGCTCTCGCTCTCTTTCTCTGACAAAAAAAAAAAAAAGATGAAATCTATTAAGAAAAAAAATAAAGCAGGCCAAGGACCAAGAGAATGTATTTGCCTATATCTAGCTGTCAAAGAAAAAAATAGAACTGTAAAAACATTAATTTTAAAATGTGTAAATCAGGGGCCCCTGAGTGGGTCAGTGGGTTAAAGCCTCTGCCTTCGGCTCAGGTCATGATCCCAGAGTCCTGGGATCAAGCCCCACATCGGGCTCTCTGCTCAGTGGGGAGCCTGCTCCCCCCACCCCGCCTGCCTCTCTGACTACCTGTGATCTCTGTCAAATAAATAAATAAAATCTTAAAAAAAAAGTATAAATCAGTAGAATGTGGGCAAGAGATAGAATCTAATTTTAAGAAATAAAATCTTGAGACATTTTGTAATTTTAAGGGAATTAATTACTGTGTTTATGTGTATGTGAGTTACTCTAGAACGCACTTTACGGGAATGCCTTGTGTATGTTAAATTACTTATTGCAAAGTGGCTGCCTTCAGCCTTCCTATCCACTTCTGACCAGCACTCATTAAACTTTCCTTTCTGCTGTCCTTCTTAGGACAACCCAATTGCTCTGGACTGAGGGTGCCACCTGATGGTTAGATCTTATGGAAGTCCTCTCTGTTGTCTTACAAATGGTCTTTTCCAAGTAACTTTCTTTTTCAGTTTACTCCTTTCCTCTTTTCTCATGTGTTTTTCATATTTACAGATAAAATACATATATCCGATCCTTAGCCTCATAGCTAGAATGGGTGATTTTGAATATCTT